AAAAAAAAAAAAGAAGAAGAAGAAAACCTTCACATGAATACATCCCAAAATCTAAAATAAAAATTGAAGAAAGAAAAAAAAGTACAAAAATTATCCAGGCATGGTGGCGTACGCCTGTAGTTCCAGCTACTCGGGAGACTGAGGCAGGAGGATAGCTTAGCCCCAGTGGTCAGGGCTGCAGTGAGCTGTGATCATGCCACTGCACTCCAGACTGGGCAACAGACAGAATGAGACTCTGTCTCAAACCTCCATCTCAAGAACAGAAAAGGTTGGGGTCACCTTTAATGTAATAATAATAACCAAGCAAGTGAAAAAGAACAGATATGCAAATGGACTCAAGGAAGATGGCTGGAATTGGGTGGCATAAAACAAAGTCAGAAACTAATTCTGACCAAACAATACAGCTGAAAATCAAATTTAGTTATGCTGACTCACTGAACCCAGAAAAAACACCTCCAGATAGCTAGTATCCAAAAAAATTTGTCAGGTCATCCATGGTAGCTCACGCCTATAATCCCTTAACTTCAGGAGGCAGGGGTGGGAGATCACTTGAGCCCAGCCTGGGCAACATGGTGAAGCCCTGTCTCTATAAAAAATTTTTAAAATACCTGGGTATTGTGGTACATGCCTGTGGTCCCAGCTACTCAAGAGACTGAGGTAGGAAAACTGCTTGAGCCTGGGAGGTCAAGGCTGTAAGTGAGCCTACAGTGGCATGACTGTGCCACTGCACTCTAGTCTAGGTAATAGAGCAAGACCCTATCTCAAACACAAAAACAAAAACAGGCCAGGCACAGTGTCTCACATCTGTAATCCTAGCACTCTGGGAGGCTGGGGCAGATGGATGCCTTGAGGTCTGGAGTTCAAAATCAGCCTGGCTAACGTGGCAAAACCCTGTCTCTACTAAAAATACAAAAATTAGCCAGGTGTGGTGACATTCACCTGTAGTCCTCAGCTACTCAAGAAGCTGAGGCAGGAGAATCACTTGAACCCAGGAGGCAGAGGTTGTGGTAAGCTGAGATCGAGCCATTGCACTCCAGCCTGGGCAATGGAGCAAGGCTCTGTCTCAAAAAAAAACAAAACAAGACAAAAAAAAAAAAAAAAAAATTAAAAAAAAGATAGTACCTAGTGGGATAAAATGACATACAAATCAGAAATTGTGATACAAAACACCACACATTCTAATACAGGTAAGCACAACCCACCATGGGAAATGGAAGATGTAGAGTCTACATCTACCAGGGAAGAAGAAATTGTTTCCAGAAAGGTTCCACAGAAGAAATAACAATTGAGTTGAATCTTCAAAATTAAAAATGAAAAAATAAACAAAATTAAAAACAAATAAAAAATGAATTGAGTTTTTGTTTTTATCTTTTTGCTTTGAAATCCAGCAAAACACTGATTACTTTCTAAAGGAAAACCCCCTCACCTTCCTACAGACAGAAGATTGATGGCAATGGCTGAGCCAATGACTTCTTGCATATCTGAGCCAATGATAGCCAGCTCCACCATCAGCCACAGGATGATTCGTGGGACCTAAACACCAAACAGTAGAACGACACGGTTCTGATTAATCATTTCTAAAAATTTCCTCCACAGCTTGGAATTCACATTTTGGCACTAAACCATAAACAGTCCTTTATAAGCATTCAGACCAGAGATTAAATATGAGAATGTGCCACCACTTGGCCGATCACTGAACTATGGCTCTCAGTTGGAGAAGAAAAAGCGTGCTACCATGTGGCAGAGCCTATGAACCAAGGTCAAGGTCAAGGCAGTAACTGATCTTTTTTCTTTTTCCTTTCTACTTGAGAAAAATGTAATTTCCATTTACTAATTTCCACTTAATTTCCTGCCTAAAAACAATCCTAAAAGTGTTAGGGAATAAGGATGTTAATATGGTCAAAATATGGGTCAAGAAAGAATATTAAGTGATTGCAGAACAACACATCTATCCTGACCATAGCCAAGAAGACAAAACAAACATGAAAAAGTTGGGGTTGACCAAGCACAGTGGCTCACACCTATAATCCCAGCACTTTGGGATGCCAAGGTGGGCAGATCCCTTGACCCCAGGAGTTTGAGACCAGCCTAGGCAACATGGCAAAACCCTATCTCTACAAAAAGCACAAAAATCAGGAGCTAAATAAGAACTTTTTTTTTTTGAGACGGAGTTTCTGTCGCCCAGGCTGGAGTGCAGTGGCACTCAGCTCACTGCAACCTCCACTTTCCAGATTCAAGCAATTCTCTGCCTCAGCCTCCGGAGTAGCTGGGACTACAGGCATCTGCCACCATATCCAGCTAATTCTTCTGTATTTTTAGTAGAGACGGGGTTTCACCATCTTAGCCAGGCTGGTCTTGAACTCCTGATCTCGTGACCCACCCACCTCGGCTTCTCAAAGTGTTGGGATTACAGGCGTAAGCCACCATGCCTGGTCAATGATAAGAACTTACGAACACGCAGACAGAAACAACAGACACTGGGGTCTACAAGATGGGGGAGGGTGGAAGGAGAGAGAGGAGCAGAAAAGATAACCATTAGATACTGTACTTGAAATATGGGTGATGTAATAATATGTACCACAAACCCACATGGCGTGTTTATCTATGTAACAAACCTTCACATGTGGCTGCTCTGCCTATGGAATAGCCATTCTTCATTCCTTTACTTTCTTAATAAACTTGCTTTCACTTAAAAAGAAAAAAACCTGGGGCCGGGCGCGGTGGCTCAAGCCTGTAATCCCAGCACTTTGGGAGGCCGAGGCGGGTGGATCACGAGGTCAAGAGATTGAGACCATCCTGGTCAACATGGTGAAACCCCATCTCTACTAAAAATA